TGCAAATTGACTGTACCTTCGCTATGCCTTAAGCCACATCCACCAGCCAATCAGAGCAACTATATGCAAATTAACCCAACCAAGATGGCGGCCAGAAGCCATGGACCTGGAGCAAGCAGGAGGCTTGGTTGCCCGAATAATGGAGAAAGCAAGCTTCCTGCCTGCCTCACCGGCTCTGAGCTCCACTCAAAGCAACAAAGTTTCAATTATAGAAGGCAAATAAACCCCAGATACCTGTTTTTAGCCGGCTGTGGCCACGGAGCTGGAGCGAGCAGGAGGCTTCCCTCCCACCAACTCTGGCCAGCTCTGAGCTCCTCTCAAAGCTACAAAGTTTCAATTATAGAAGGTAAATAAATCCCAGAATAACAAAAAAGAAAAAGAAAAAAAGGAGAGGCTTGGAGCTTCCGTTACCGGGGCCTTGGCCAGCCTGAAAACAGCCCTCAGCCCCTCTCTCAGACTGGCCAGGCACCCCAGTGGGGACCCCCCACCCTAAAGGGGGTGTGGCCAGGCTGAAAACAGCCATCAGCCCCTCACCCAGGCTGGCCAAACCTCCATAGGGTGAGGGTCCCCACTTGGGGGAGGCTTGACCAGCCTGCAAACAGCCATCAGCCCCTCACCCAGTCTGGCCAGGTACCCCAGTGGGGACCCCAACCCTGAAGGGGGTGTGACCAGCTGCAAACAGCCATCAGCCCCTCACCCAGTCTGGCCAGGCACCCCACAGAAGACCCCCACCCTGAAGGGGGTGTAACCAGCCTGCAAACACCCATGAGCCCATCACCCAGGCTGGCCAGGCACCTCAGCGGGACCCCCACCCTGATCTGGGACACCCTTCAGGGTAAACCAGGCGGCTCCCACCCGTGCACCAGGCCTCTATCCTATATAATAAAAGGGTAATATGCAAACTGACCCTAACAGCAGAACGACTGGGAATGACTGGTCACTATGACACACACTGACCACCAGTGGGCAGACGCTCAATGCAGGAGCTGCCCCTGGTGGTCAGTGCGCTCCCACAGGGGCAGCTCTGCTCAGCCACAAGCCAGGCTGACGGCTGCCAGCATAGCGGTGGTGGCGGGATCCTCTCTCACCTCCTCAGCAGCGCTAAGGATGTCCGATTGCAGCTTAGGCCTGCTCCCTGCTGGCAAGTGGACATCCCCCGAGGGCTCCCATGCTACCAGAGGGATGTCTGACTGCCATCTTAGGCCCATTTCCCGGGGAGTGGCCCTAAGCCAGCAGGTGGACATCCCCCAAGGGGTCCCAGACTGCGAGAGTTCACAGGTCGGGCTGAGGGACCCCTCAAAATGCACAAATTTTTGTGCACCGGGCCTCTAGTGATTTCATATGGTGGGTGAAAATGCTCTGAGGGGAATTAATGGGATAATGATGATGATGATAATGCCTTTTATATACTGAGTCGGTTGTCTGTGCTAGACAAAGTTTTCAGCATTTTAATGGAGTACCTTACTTAATCCTCAGAGCAATCCAGCAATATTATTGAACTTAATTATATTAAATCATGTATACAAGCCAGTAGTCAAACGTGAGCTGCCTGACTCCAAGGGTGCACATTCTTAAAAATTGTTTGACTTTTTTTTGGTGATAGGGTCAGTGAAGGCCTCATTGAGGAGGTGCTGCTTATTTAAACCTTAAAGTCACAAAGAAGAAGGGGATGAGTGGAGAAACCATTTGATAGAGGAAGGAGGCTGAGATTCAGTGAGATTGGCTAGATATATTCAAAAAAACAGAACAGATTAGTTTTATCACATGCTGGCAAATTATAGAAAAAAAAAAGCTGGGAAGTTCTTGAGATCAGGTGCTCACATATTAGGAGCAATAGCTTGTGCTTCATGGAATGTACTGAATTCTTGAGACAAGATGCAAGTTGTGCTTCAGACGACCTGGGCCATGGTGGGGGTAACATAGTGAAATGATTAAGAGCCTGAGTCTGCCAGTAAGCCTCGTGAATTGATATCCTATCTTTCATAATGATCCCTGCTAGTCAGTGAACCCCTAGACCTCTCAGTTTCCTCATCCACAGTGTTACCCTCAGTGTCAATGATAGTAACTATGACTATGGTTATGAGAATTAAAGTAGGTCATTTATGTAAAATTCTTGCTATGGTGCATGTATTTAGTACTCAGTAAGTGCTAGCTTTTATGGTTAATGTGTAAATAATAGGTTGTAGAAGAGACTGAAAACAGGACGGACTTAATAGACTACCAGTACAGTCCAGATGATAATAGACAACATCGTGAACTAAGACTATGGCGATGGCAACTAAAAAGAGAACAGTTACACAAGATATTTCATAAGTGCCTTTATGATTCATTAGGTGTGGGAGGCAGAGATGTGACTCTTCGAGTGTTCATGCCTGGCTCGCTATTTTCAGATATAGTATAACCAGGAAGACATGATGATTTGGAGAAGAAATTATGGACCCATAATCTGTTTTGATGTATTGACTATGGATTAAAGGCATTCTTCAAGTTTTATCAGAATGTCACCAAGGCAATGTTTTAAACAAGCGTGATACAGATCAACTGGTGGTAGGAGATGATCCAAGTGGTGGATGCATGGGTTGTCTCCGTGGCGAGAAAATTATTTCCTATGAAATGCTTTCTCTGTTCTGTTTACATCAAGTATGTTTTTACTTTGGTAATAGCTGTATTTTCCTGTTCTTTCTAATACCTCTCTTTCTGTTTCTTTTTCAACATATTCAGAGTCTGGGGAACACAAATATATATGCACTTAACATTTAAGAACATTTTAAATAATATAAAAACATGTTTTTTAATGAAATTTTGATATAAATTTACATTTATATCAAATGCTTCTAGTTTATAATTATGGCCCTAATATGAACTTTTCTTTAAAAATTTTATAACTAAAAACAATAAATCAATTTAAAGAAAAAAAATACTAAGGAATAAGTAGTAGAGTCACTTGGCTTAACAAAGTCATGAAAGGTAGGCTTGAATGACTGAAGGTTATAAATCTCCTACAGTAAGCTAGGTACCAGTTTAAGCAATATTCTCACCCCATTTTCACAAAGGCTCTTAAAGGAAAACATTTCATATAAGTCTAGGAGAAAACCGTATTGCAATAATGGCTAAGATGAAAAAGAACTAGAACTAGAAATTTGATATTCCAAGGAAGTTGTTAACATAACTTTGTGGATGTTAACTAATTATGGAGCTATGCTTGAAGATAGGAATGACATCAGGCATCAAACAAAAGACCATGTGGAAAATTCCAGTCATTACAAAATCAACCATCACAAGAATCGGGCTGCCTCTCAGCATTGGTGTTCAGTTTCAGTCCAGCCCTCTTCACAGAGGCAACTGTAATAGGACTGCCCACAAATACAAACCAGCAAGAGCAGGGAGTAGACAGGAAGACCAATGCAAAGACTAACTACCATATTAAAATTTTCATTGAGAAGAAGTGATCAATTAGATGATGCTACTCAGTATCAAATCTGATATTCAGCAGTTTTGCTTGGATTTCCCTAGGAAGAGTAATAGCTGTGTGACACCTGGGTGATATTTCTTGCTGTGCTTTCAGTAAGTGGATCACTTTCTTCTGGCAGCATCTCTAAAGAGACAGTAAATACTCTAGATCGTCCTCAATATGAGACAGTGGGAAGGAGATGATGTTAGCCCCTGTGATAAAAGCCAACCCCTTCCTCATCACCTTTTGGTTTTAATGCAACTCTGAGCTCAAATAACTGAACAAAAGATTGGCTAGTCATGACTTTGTGGGTTCTGTTTTAGGGTACTGACATAATTATAGATATGAATATACAACAGAACTTGATGTTCAATTTCACATTCTGGAAGTGTGCAGACTTAGAGATTATTTTTACACATGTTCTTCCTTCCACAGATGGAAGATTTTACTTCTAAGGCAATCCTGAATCTTTTTTTGGCACCAAATGAAACACTGTTCTAGTACTTGATGGTCAGGGTTTTTAGTGAATAATGGAGCAGAAGGCCCCTTTTAAAAATGTGTATTTGAGCATTTCTTTGACCCTCATTCAGGTTCTTTTTTCAAAATAAAAGAATATTTAGGAGAAATCTGAAAATGCCAATAACAATGTGAGGGCCAGATAGCTCTTTGAATTTGAGGATGGTTTTTATGAAGGTAGAATCTTAAATTTCCATTTTTGTATAGGTCTTAAATTTGCTTCTGTACAAAAGACCAAGGCCTTATTCCCTATAAGTCAGCAGAAAACTGTGTCACTGTGTCTTACAAAATCCAGGGTAGGTGTGGAGGGGAAATCAGGTATATGTGAGTAAATCAACAGAAAACAGCTCAACCAATTGAAAGACATGACTTAATAAATGGTAATCTAAGAACATAAGGTTTATATTTGAAATTGGAAGCACTTTACTTTTTTCCTCCTACACATAATAAGCCTGTGGTACAGCTCTTTGTTCACGTTAGTTATCTGGGAAAACTGATGCCCTGAGAATTTCAGTAATTTCTCAGTATCAACAGCTGGTAATTAATGAAGCTGGGGTTTGAACCCAGACCTATTTGATACTCCAGTGATGGAGTCAGTTCAAAAGATTAAATTATTGAATGGAGAATTAGTCCATATTCACTATGGTCACTTTTCTACATTTTTGCACAATTGATTTTTTTCTGTGCAATTACTTTAAACGCTTCTACTTCAATATGTTATGAAACATTTCTTAAAAGAAGCATTATATCTATACCTAATAAATATTTTCTTTTTAAATAATTGCTGCTTATTCTTGCTTAAAGAAAGTAAGCAAATAATTTACTAATCCAATTTGAATTCAATTTGCTTCAGATTGAAATAATCCATTTATATATATTCGATTATACAAGAATACCAATTATAATTTTCTCTAGTAAATTAAAACACTTTAATTTTCTGAATATCACCTGTAGACAACTACTGAAAAGCCTTCTGGATCATATACACCACAATTTTAGCTCTTAATGGGTCATTTAGAATTCTCTATCTTACCAGAAGTTGTCTTCACTACATCTGTGGTATTTCTCAGTCCAACAAATGAAAATTGATAAAGCCTCCAAGATCTTGTGTCACCCACTTCAACAGAGTTACGCTTCCATTGATAGACAATTTCTTCCCGTGGATAGCCATCTGCCAAGAGGTGGGAAAGCACATGTTTAAAATGATTATAAATGAACAAATGTAGCAACCACCTTCCAGGAATAAGACACCAAAGAATGTGCTGAGAGAGATAAAGTTATGACTTAATGAGAACCCTGGACTAACGAGTCTCACCGTAGAGAAAATAAATACAGTGACATCCTATCCTAATGGGAAGTTAGATTTAAACATTATGAGGTTAAAATCATTCCTACAAGTCACTTAAATTGCATAGCAGATATGCTATACATGGTTTAATATATACTATATGCACAGTCTACATTGGGGTGAGATATATGTGGTCAGTATAAATAGACAGTACATATGTAAGATATTGTTTCAGCATGAAGGGCAGTCAACCAGGGAAGAGGAATCATGCAGAAACAGAAAATATTGAGAGAAGGGCAGCCTTAAGTTCCTCTCCAGGACATGCACCCTTAGTAGAAGGTGGTGGGGAAAAATAATCTCAACTATTTACATTAATTATTCTCTCTCTCATTTTTTTTTGGTTTTCATTTTAGTATACACAGAAATCTATAATGATAATGCAGTGACTATCAGTACCATTTCTTTGCCCAATACCCTAGACCAGTGGTCGGCAAACTCATTAGTCAGCAGACCCAAATATCACCAGTACAACGATTGAAATTTCTTTTGAGAGCCATATTTTTTAAACTTAAACTATATAGGTAGGCACATTGTTATTAACTTAATTAGGGTACTCCTAAGGCTTAGGAAGAGCCACACTCAAGGGGACAAAGAGCCGCATGTGGCTCGTGAACCGCAGTTTGCTGACCACGGCCCTAGACAAGTTTCTTAATTTTTTACAAATTATTTGCTTCCTTATGGTGGTTATGATAATACTTATTTCATGAAATTGATGATCAATGTACACTTAATGGATAAACATTACTATTAAGTAAGCAATACAATAAACTTTCAATTAAAAATTAGTTAAATAAGGAGAGATTTTAAAAAATTAGAAAGCATCTCAACTATTTGTCTACTAATAATGCTATGGAAAGATGAGTCTTGATTACGGAGGCTGATTCACTACATAGCAAAAAATTACTTGTGTGTTCCTTTTCTTCGTTTTCTTTTGGCCCAACTCTGTGTCTGTTGTGTATTTATTAATTAAGAAGAAGGAAAAGAGAAAGCAGTATCCTCTGATAGATCAGGGGAGGGGAGGCAGGATGTGCTGGAAACAGGAAAATATCGATGATATTAAGGAACTTCCTATGGAGAATGTAATTATGATTTAATTTTTGATAGCAATAAGTATTATTAAGTTGTGTTTAGGTTCAGAAGATGGTTGTCAATTGGTGATGTAAAGGCACAGAAATCACCAGTTCTTAAGCTTAGCTGATTCAGGAGTAATCCCAGTTGAAAGATTAAAGGAAAATAAATCTAATCTCCTAAAGCTTGGGGAAGTTTTCATTTAAAAATATTCCATTCTTGGATGAAGTAAAACATATGAAATAAGTTTTATAGTAAAACCTTTTGTAAATACAGGGTGGGGAAAAAGTGGGTTTCCAGTTGTGAGTATCAAAAGGCAGAGCTTCTTATATTATTATTTATAAATTATTGTATTTTTATACGAACAACTATAAATCTACTTTTGCACAACCCTGTTTATATGATACTAGAGGCCTGGTGCATGAATTTGTGCACCCTCGGCCTGGCTTGCAGGATCGGACCAAAACTGGCTCTCTGACATCCCCTGAGGGGTCCCGATTGTGAGAGAGCACAGGCCAGGCCAAGGGACCCCACCAGTGCATGATTGGGGCTGGGGAGTGATGTGGGAGGTTGGCCAGCTGGGGAGGGAGCATGGGAGGGCTCCAGGGCATGTCCAGCCATCTCGCTCAGTCCTGATCTGCTGGACCCCAGCAGCAAGCTAACCAACCGGTGGGAATGTCTGCCCCCTGATGGTCAGTGCATGTTATAGCGAACGGTTGAGTACCTTAGCATATCATTCGCATATTATGCTTTGATTGGTTGAATGGACAACTGGATGACTAGATAATTAGCATTTTAGGCTTTTATTATATAAGATACAGTGATGCTTTTCCTTTAGTTCCATCGGGAATTGCTGTAGTGATAAAATAATGATTGAGTCTCTCATCACTGATTTTTTTAAATGATGGTTATTATGATTTAATTGGCTCTTAGGAGTCTCCTTCAATCCAAGGCTGGGAAATTATATTTATGAAAATAAAAAATTAAAATTTATAATCAGTTTTCATTGCTTTATATGTACGGTTGGCAGATCAATAATAAGGAGGAGGTGAGCAACCTAACATGTTTGCTGAACAAGTAGTGAGACAAATATTTGTTTTTAATTCAGGCAGGAAATCTGTGAAGGTTACTAAAGCTTATTGTAATTTATGCTAGAATCATCATGAATCTTTTTACTGTAGTCTATTATCTGATTATGGTAATAATAATTAAGAAAAATAATAGAGCTTTTTATTGAATCTTGTGTATTGAGATAGCATACCAAGCATTTTACAAACAAAAGAGTATTGTGCTGGGCAGGCCTTACAATCTCTGTTGAGTATCTGGGAGTGTGGACTCACTGATGAGAGATTTAGTAATTTGCTCAAGTCTATGTTGATAGAGTTGGAATTTGAACTGGACTATGGAATGCCCATAATCAGTCTTTTACTCACTGGTGGATAACTAGTTCTAGATATTACTAGAATTCCAAGAGGGGGAGGTAGTCATTAATTTTGTTGTCTTTAACAGGTATACAGAATTGGAATGTGCAAACCACACTGTTGTATCTCTGTGCATCCTGACAGGTAAGGGAGAAAATAAGTAACAAATGTGCTGCTATTCTTCTCCTGGGCCCATGGAGGGAGGGAGATGTATAATCCACCATTACCCCTTTATATTCAGCATAGGCCTGGTTTTACAGTTCTCCTCAACAAAGGGCTCCTAGCAACCACTGCCAATTTATTCAACGTTTATACATCAATAAAACTTATTTGTAACTCCTGATAAATTAGACCCTTTTCTGCAAGAATCACTCTAAAAAGACCAAGCTGGTATTATGATGGAAGAAACTGTCAAAATCTTCAGAGAAAACAACATTGCTTAATGCAATTTTGTATTTTCTGTAAATCTCCCAATTAATTGACAATGCAATTAGACTATTGGTGAGAGGAGCTACAGACCACAGAATGAGTGTTACTTACAACTGGAGAACTCCAAGGGGCAGGAGTGTTCATCCATTGGAAAATTGTGCAACTGTAATTGGCACTCAGCATCAATTGTCAGCCTAAACAGAAACATATGAAAGATAGCTAAACATATTTTAGACATAGTTTTAAAAATGTACATTAGCACAATTTCTAATGACCATTCTCCATCTTCATTCTTGGGGAGTATATCTCACATTCTTATGGACAACACAAGATGATTCTCACTGAAGAAATCCACCGAGTCCAGGAGAAAAGCATTTAAGACCTAATGTGGTCCCTTCATTTTCACAAACTGAACATTTTTATTGACCTCAACTCCATTTTTTTCAAACCTTAGGATCACCATATTTTTTTTTTTGGCAAATTAATTGCACACATGAAATTGTTCAGTGAATATATTTAGCAGAACAAATTGTTTTAAGAACTTAAGTTCATTTACTGTTTGCATATAAATGATTGCTGATAATTCTCAGATTTTATCTGGTAATTAAAGCAGAACTTTTTGTAAGTACTTGTTAGCTGTTAGCATTAAATTACTATATGTGAGTTTAAAAATACCTATGTTTCACAGTAGGGTATTATGCATTTTATAATGGAACACCATGACGCCATTAACTAGGGTTTTATAAAGTAGAAAAATATCTAATGGTAAACAGGAAATGTTGAATAAATAGACACAGACATACTAGGAATATGTCTGCCAATGAGTTTCAAATAGTTTACATCTGGGAATACTTATGAAACATAGAGGTTTTCTGGATCCCAATGGGCTGGATCTCTAGAAGGGAGAACATTTAAAGGTGTTCAGATGTTTTGATCACTTTAGGAGAAAGTATGAACATACTCTAAAATTGTACTAGTGATGGCTTGACATTTTAAATTTCACATTTTTTAAGCTATATTTCTTACAATGATATCAACCTTGAAGTAATAAAAATGTTGTTTGATGAACATTTGTTAATTTAAAAGATTTTGCAGTTTAGCATGCCTTTTCATTTGGGAGATTTTATTTTTCTGTAGTATAATAGAGCAATTACTGATCTTGAGATATAACTGATAATCACTGAGCCATTAATTGTTTATATGGCATGGGGCAAAGGTGAATTGTTCTATCATTTAATACACATTATTATGGCTTTATTTTCTTTGAACTTGACCGAAGTCATCAAGGTAGTGGCACAGTTGAGATCTGAACCCAAGATTATGATGTGTCTCCAAAGCTGGAGGTTTTAATAATTGTCACTCAATAATTATATGCTCTTTCAAAGAAAAAATTAGTTTGAAAACAATATAGATCATTTGCAGAAACCAAGATAGATACGTACATATATATCTATGCATATACATTCATAATGCATTATAGATAAGAACAATAATAAAATCATCTCTCAGGATAGATTGGCAACTCATTCAAACTTTGATTCAATTTTATGAGTGACATTTTTGAGGTGGTTTCCATAATTAAAAATTGTATAGTGATTCTGCAAATCAAAGGAAGTGAGAAAAAATGACTATAATGTTATGAGAATATAAAGGAGCTTGAGGTAGTGTAACTTAATACTTCAAAAGTTTAGACCAAGCCCTGATTTATCAAACTTTGATTTCCACTAGATACTAATTACAGTCATTGCCGTATGTCTAATTTAATAAAACTCATGATGAATTCAAAATATATATGACTTTCTTCTATACTTGTAGCCATTTATTCCTAGTGATCAACTCTGTTTAACTGATATAAATGTTTGAAGTCATTTAAAAGTATTTTATTTTGTATGTTGACTATTATGTAAGGCATTATGTATATGTCACAAGGGCATTTAACATGAATCATTTGGAAGTTAAAAGTTCTAGGATACTAAGACCTAGAAGAATCATATTTATATCTTTTACTAAAAATATTTATGAATAAATTTAGTCTCTGCTATGTTTACTATATATCAGAGTCTAAGCACTTTTCTTATCACACCGTTTAGTCCTTCTAACAACTTCATAAGATAAGAATCATCATCTCTATTTTATAGAAATCAAAGAAATTAAATGTAAGAGTTAGCTCAGTTAGATGGGGAGTGTGTTGTGGGGTGGTCATACCTTCTTTCCCAATAATCCCCATTATTTCCAACCTAAATTCTCTCAATAAAAATGTAACCAACTAAAAACATCAAACTTACTGTACAAATAAGCCTTTGAGATATGTCTTCTATCTAGCACTAAGACCCCTGCTACAGATAGCTGCCCCCAAGTCCTGTACATAGAAATTCTGAAGAGTTGCCATAGTACATATAGATAGTATGCTGTAGAGCTAGGAACTAAAGCCAGGTTTGTCTAATTTTTAAGGCTATGTACTTCTCTATTATATTATTTAGTAACATATGCTTGCCAATGAAAAAAAAATCCAGCATAGAATTATTTTAAATACATCTAAGTATTATGCTAAGATAATGGCATAGAAAACCTCCCAAATATTACTTAATGTTTAACTTCAGAAAATAAAAAAAGCTCCAAGTTTTCCCTAAAGATGTCTTTCAAAATAGCCAGTAAATTAATTCAAACAGCCTACAAGTGTAGTGGGGAGTTGGTGCTGGGAGATGGAATTCATTCTAGGTACTTGCCATTGTGTAGCTAAAAAGAGAAAGACATACAGGAGACTTCTGCATAAAAAAAAAATAATCTTCTTTTGCAACAGTTTCCTTGGAAACGGAGACATTTCCAAGCATAACAACTAGTAGTCCTAAGGATGACTATGTTTTAGTTTCCATATTTTAAAGTAGCAGGACACACACACAAAAGCCAAGATTGATGCAAGATCAGGTGATCTTTCAAAGGCAAGGAAAATATCATGTGCTTGTGAGGAAAAAAAGAGTTCTCACATCAGTCATAGAAAATAAGTTCCACCTATTTCTAGTCCTTTGATAAAGCTTACTGACAACAGAAAGAAAATTAATTTTGTAGTGTCACATATTATTTTGTTCAAACATGGCAACCCTGATGTTGGCTTGACGTTTTTGTGTGTGTGTGTTTGGTCTCAAGGAGAGTGTGGTTGATCTTTGTTTTACTCCCAGCAATTACTCTTTTTTTTTTCTTCTGAAAGAATACCTTAAGGTGTAGAGTACTCGACCATCATTCCAAATTCTCAGCATCCTATTGGGGGTGGTTATCCAATGTGCATCAGCCTTTTTTGAGTTTCTGAAGAAAGTGTCTGGAATCCAGATTTTCCCCACCATGTTGCTATTCAATCGGAGGACTTTAATGGTGCTGTTGAATTTCAAACGTCTGTCATACCATGTTTGAGCAAAAAATATATCAATTGTATATTCCTGTTACAAAGAAAAAGATGAAACACAATATTTATATTTCAGTTGAGTTATATTGTAGAGCATTTTTTTTTTTTTGGTATTTGTCATCTTTGTTCTCATTGCTATTTTGAGCTATACTTTGGCTTTGAATAGTCCAAAAGAAAGCAAAGACTTTGCTAAGGAGACTCACTATCTCTGGTAGACGAGTTGATATTTTTATGAAAGAAAAAAAAACAATAAAAAAGGATGGTCTAAATAAATTCTGGCAAAAGATCAGAGCCCTGGTACATTTGTTTGCATTTGATGTGGATAGAGCAGAGTTTCTCATGTTATTTGGGCTATCTAATATGTTGTTGTGGGGGCTGTCTTGTGTATTTTAAGATAGGAGCATACCTAGCCTCTACTCACTAGATGCTAGTAGCACCAACACAAACGTCACCCACCAAGCTGTGACAACTAAAAAATACCTCTAGACATTGCTAAATGTCTTAGTGAAGACAATCACTTGGGTTGAGAACCTCTGCTGTAGAGTGAAAGTGAAGAATACTTAACACAGTCCTAAGCTGGAGCTGTGGAGCCTCAGTCACCTCATAATAACATGGGGACCCTAAAGAATCTATCTTGCTAGGTAGTGTGAGGACAGAAAAAGAGAACACACATCAAGTTCTTTTCAGTGTGTCTGGCAGATAGCAAACACCAATATAATGTACAAGGTAACCTTTAAAAAACACACAAAACTATTATAGTTGTTGTCTTTTCCTCCAAACAAGAAGAAATAAACCAATTCCAAATAATTTTAACACTTTACTAATCTCTATCACAAAGCATATTCCCAAAATGCCAAATTGCTGTGGTGATTAATTACTCCGCAATGATTATTCTCAAGGGCATACCACTAACGTGGCAAGTGATTGACTGTAATCAAAGAGAATTAAATATGATGTGAATTCAGACCATGAGGCCTGGCATCAGAACACCTAAATTCTAGTTTGACTCTCATTACTTTGCCTCATCCTTACTGTTCTGTATTATTTCCTAGTACCTCCTGCTGCCACACCTCATTGCACTTGACTACATTTCCACTGGGGTAAGACATGGCACTTGGTTCACCATTTAATTCCATATTTGCAGTTTACACAGCATGAGAAGGGAACCTATCTTGTGAAATTCGTTGTCAGTGAATTAATGCCAGTAAGTAGAGTAAATTAACAATTTCTGATGTACACTTTGGCAAAATGCATACAAATAAATAATGAAAATTAAAAATAAGAGCTTTAAGAGTAATCAAACCAGTAGCTCTGGGAACTAGTATTCTGGAAAGTAAAAGTTCTATTCCTTCTTCTTAGATTTATAGTTTGCATCAAAATGCTAAATATTCTGAGAGTTTTAGTTGTAAAGAAGAAATGTGTTGGCATTTGTTTAATGGTTAAATAAGTAAGCTTATTTTTGTGAATTATGCAGGTAGTGGTATATTTTTTAATCACCCCAATTGAGAGCAATTAAAGTTCCTCATATTTCTGACTCAGTAGAGTGTACTAATTGCTAGTTTGGTAAACACTATTTCAAGGTGTTAGCATTACGATGTTATGTTATATTATATGATGTTGTTATACTATAGACTCCAATTTAGCTTCTCATTTCAGATTTGGATAGAAAGTGTTATACAATAATAACTTGCATTTATTGTTACAACTAATCAATTATTTCCTCTGAGAAACAGTTCTGATTTGAAGCAAACTATGCCTTCTCCACACCAACACTATTCTAAAAAGTAGAGCCCTATATTGTATTTTGTAGTAAGCAGTACTTACCAAGTAAACAGTTATTGAATTTTAATTATAACATTTTACACAAATTAATTTTATACATATGATCACATTTAATTCTCATAAATCATTAAAATTATCCTTATGTTGCAAGAGAGAAAAACTGAAAGATTCTCCCTTCTGAATTTTTTTTGTTGGCATATTTATTGCTATTTTCATCATACCACATGGACCCTTTAATATGCTAATAATATAGACAAACTATTAGAAACTTACCATATTGATAGCATTCACTGGACCGATGCTATTCACATACATGTCTGTGTGAATTAATGTTGGCTTCACTATAAAGAGAACCACAGAGAAGCACAATATTTTAAACTGCTATTCTAGAAATACATTTACTTTGTCATTTTAGAAGTGGTTTATTTACAACTAATTTGGTGCCAGTGACTAATTCTCTTCTTTTAAATGACTCTGTTTTCAACGAAATATCTCCATTTAGCATGTTAATGCTATAACTAAGCATAGTAGAGTTTCATAACTGGTTTTCCTTTCAAGACTATGTAAAGATAAACAAATAAGAAAAAACTCCTCAGATTCCCCCCCCCCTTCAGATATCCTGAATTTTACCATTTTTCCTTCAAGCTCTGAAATCTATTTGGGCATTATTACCTGACTTGCCCCATTTAGAAAAAAATAACTACTTAGTGACCTATAAAAATAAGCATGAGAAACATGAAGTAGATATAAAGAGCAAGTATTGTGAATTGTTTTGGAATATTTGCACCTGTTGGTTCCGTTTATGACCGCTTTATCCAAATATACCTCTAGCCAAAACAAAATCAATCTTTCTCAGTGACTTCATGGATTCTGTGATTCAAATAATATGAGTAAACCATATGGAAACCCAGTACACACCTATTTGTCAAAGAGGACTGATATTAAAAATCATGAAGTGTTACATTTATGACTAAATGCAAATGCATATGCTCCATTTTCATTTCACTTTTAATGAACAAGGGTTCATAATATCATTCCTGGCTTCAATTCAACATGTATCTCATTTTTATCCACTTTCCTTGAAAGTGTGCCGTAATTCTCAGTGTTGGATTGAATTCTTTGCTATTCCCTGTATCTAAAACCTTGCTGTCACCTCACTGAGGCTACTTCTCTTCTTCAAACTTTGGGCTTGACTATCTGATTTGGTTTGGCTAACAATATATAGACAAAAGTGAGTGTGCTAGTTCTAACCACAAGCATTTAAGCCTTATGAGCTTCTACTTTCTCTCTTGCTCTTTGCTATTATCATGAGACGAATACTCCCAGCTAGTGTGCTGGTCCCAGGAGTAAAATAAGAGAGAGTACAGATTTCCTTAATGAACAGCCTGTTTGGCTTACATTAAATCACCACCCCTAACAAGTACTAAGAAAATGCCTATTGTAATTTGCCATTGAGAATTTGTGGTTGTTTATTAAACAGCAATAGGTAACAAGTATATATTTCCTTTATCATAATATGCTTTTTTTTTTATGTCTCTTCATAAAGAACTTGTCACTTTTCTTCTACAGCCTTTGTCTGGGATACCTAGCAAAAATTGAATTTCTAGCTCTCAAATCTCACTTGAAAATCATCTTTCCTCATTTGAACTTATCAATGCCCATCCTACCTTCAAGCCACTATATGTTTTTATAACATATAGTGAAGGTTTTATTTAAATAATTCTGGTTATCGAAATATGCTAGTGTTGTCTTCTAATATGGTAGGAATGTTTATGAGTTTCGATCCACACCAAGGTACAAAAGACTTCAACATACCTCCTATATCAGGTCGGAGTTTATTATCATATCCTTCTAGGAGATTGTTTAAGATAATAGTGACATCACCCTCAGGAACTTTTGGTGTCAAGACCCATGTTTTGTTAGAAGCATAATCTTCATAGTCATCATCAGATTTTTGGCTAGTAAGGCTAAGAAAACAAAAAATATTGGTTACAAAACACATAGACTATACTCAAATTAATTTTTATCTTCAGACTATTGGTGGAAAAGGAGAAGTGACACCACGTTATAGGAATCCATTAAAATGGATTAGAGTGGAAATTTTCACCTGAGGATTTGTCTAGGTAATTGGACTGCACAGATGTACATTATAATTTATAAAAGGGAACTCTTCCATTTTTCAGAATGCTCTGCCCTCCTATATCTAAGTAGACTATGTTTACCAGTTTTTGCCTTTTCCATAGTGGTTCTTTTTGCCCACCTGCCCAGCCTTATGAAAGATGGATAAAACCCCACACACTATTTTTGTGAAAGTGATGCTTAAACTATCATAATGTTGGCTAAGAATTCAGGCATAATGTCTACTTCTTTTTCCTTTGAGAAGTTAACTTGCTTCAACCTATTAATGAAAGTAAGAGACTGATAATTAGATTCACTCCCACAAACCGCCAGACGAGCCTCTCCCTCCTCAATTGAACTACTGAGGAGAGCTCAGGCTTGCTGCCTTTTCCTCCCCCAGGGTGTGTGTATGTGCATTTTGTCTCCTCACTTGCACTGAAGGCAAGGGCGGTTCATTTATCTTTGATTGTTAAGAACCTGGGACTATGAAAGAAAATGTAGTCACAGACTTTAAACCACCTTTTACTACAGCGAAAGTTCCTAAGCTGGAAACTCATACTATTGCTTATTGTACTGCAATCTTAGATATGAAATTACCTATTTTGAGTGATCAGAAAGCCACATAATATCCTGACTCAGTTTTCTATGCCCCACAATTGGGCCAGAAGCTAAGGCTGACTTTGGAAAGATACTAAAATTTCTATAGCTTATCTCTCCACTGCTACACATTCCAATCCCCCTCACCCCCCACAACAAGATAATTGTATTTTCCAGACCTAGGGGCAATGCAAAACCTTGCAAAAACTGCCATTTTCATTTTTATCAGCACTCAGTGAATATAGGTTCTTTCTATTATTTATTATGAAAAAATTACAAATGTAAAATATAAAATTTCCCATCCCATCGTCAGTTTATTTTCCCAAATATATATGGTATAGATTGGATCTTGTTAGAAAATAAATCACCGCCACATTACTCTGAATAAAAAAAAAGTATATATATATATATATATATTCATATATATTTCATATATATATGTATTTCATATATATATGAAATACATATATATTTCATATATATTTCATATATATATCATATATATATGATATATATATTTCATATATATATATCAAACCATATTTATCACCTTTCTTCAGTCATAATCATATATATGACTGTGTTTTATATATGTAACTTGGAGATAAATAAATCGATGGATAGATGATTAAATATGGTAGAAGAAGGCTGATAAGTAATTAATGTGATTTGAGAATGAGTGAGGGAGATGACGTTTTTATTATTTTTAAATACAATTTTATTGATTTTAGAGAGAGAAGAAGGGAGAGGGATAGAAAGAGAGGAACATTGATGTGTGAGAGAAACATCAATTGGTTGCCTCCTGACCAGGGATCGAACCTGCAGCCTGGATATGTGCTCTGACTGTGAATTGAACCCCCGACCTTTTGGTGTATGGGAAGATGCTCAAACAACTGAGCCATACCTGCAAGGACAGGGAGATGATGTTTTAAGAGTAATAACTGCCATAAATCAACTTAATAAGCAAGTGATCTCTTTTTATATTCTTTTAAAGCTTTATGAAAAGGAAACAAACTGAGTCACACATCTGCATAACACCTAACATAGCCCGTGTTTTACATCTTGCACTTTAGTAGCATAGGAACTTTAAACAAAATGTGAATTTCATAGTGTACCTGTAGAGGATATGCAGGGCTGGACAAGCTCCAACCAGCAGGGACACCAGTTCTCTTGCCAGGAAAATCCCTCTCGGGCCTCAATTCATCATTTCTCCAGAGCACTGTGAACTCTGCCTAATGGAACTCTAATGGGACTCTAATCCTATGACCCAAATCTTACTAGTTTAGTAAGAAAAAAACTCTCTAAGAAAATTTTAAGTCCTTCCAATAAATCACTGGGGAAAAGAATATATTTGGCCCATTAGATGTCATCATAATAAAATTTTACTCCTTTTTGATTTGGTCATGCAATAGGGCCTTTTAAAAAATTATCCCTCATTCTTTGCCTCTCTCCCTTTGTGTCTGTCTCTCCTTCTGCCTCTCTGTCTCTCTCTATCAGACAAATACACCTTATTAAAGTTTCTTCAAGGGAAGGTGACATATATAGTAAGTTGTTTGGTTTGCTTATTTATAGCACTGCTTCATACTAAGAAAGAAATTATCCAAGCCTCAATGTGCTGTATTACTGACATTGCTATTATTGGGCCAACTAGGAGGAAAAATGCATCAAATGAAAAGATAATGGATACTTGCTTAGAAGGAATGCTACTTTCCAGAATTGCACCAATAATTCTCTTAATATTATCACCTATTGGATGCCAGAACAGTACTTAAATTGATCTCACTTAAAAGTGTCAGTGATGGTTTTTTGTGTGTGTGTTTTTTTTTTTTTCAGACTTCAGGAAACCAACTTAGCCACAGAGAGGTTAAACAGAGTAGAGAAACTAGAATATATACTTGGGAATTAGAAATTACCAGGTCTGTTTATTGGATTTATATCTTGCCTCTGTCACTATTTTATGCCATTGGGCAAATTATTTAACCTAGCTTAACAAACCTCATCATTATTATTATTATTATTATTATTATTATTATTTTGTTTTGTTAATCCTCAACTCAGGATATTTTTTCCATTGATTTTTAGGGAGAGTAGGAGAGAGAGGGAAAGACAGAGAGAAACATTAATGTGAGAGAAACACATCAATTAATTGCCTCGGCAGGAGCCCTGACCAGGGCCCAGGCTGGGGAGGAATCTGCAACCAACGTACCTGCCTTTGACCTGAATTGAATCCGGGGCCCTTTGGTCCACAGGCCAACACTCTATCCACTGAGCCTAACCGGCTAGGATGAAACCTTCTCATTTGAAAATAAAGTTAATACTAGAGTTTATATCGAATTTTTGTGTAAGGTTATTAATGCTTAGCATGATGCCTGACACATAGTTTTGAAAACAGTTTTATTATAATTATTAGTATAAAGAGACCCTTACTATGTTTATAATAATAGCTCCAACCATGTAACTACAACCTGATTCTACAGATGCTGCCTTTTAACTAATATGGTCTGAGAAGGACTATAAAAACAGATGTTTTCCAGGAAGAAAAATAATGAGCCCCTCCATTATAAATAAATGGAGTTATTATTCTCCAGAACTTTCCCAGCTGAGGTCTAAATTAATAGGGCTGATGAATAATCTGGGATTGTGTCCAGATTTGTCTTTAAAAAGGAAAAAGAACCTTTCTCACTCAATGTTGCCTGTTTCTTGATCATTCTTTGATCATTCTTTGGAGTCAAAAATGTCCACGTATATAGGTGAACAAGCTATAGGGGTAATGAGATCTGACTATTCAAGAAGGCATTCTATAGAATTATGAACCTCATGAGAATGCCAGGGTAGGAATTCTAATATATAAAGAGACAGGTGTCATCATGACTGAACGGATGACCGGTCACCATGAAGTGCATGGAGCACCCCTCCCTCTAGCCCCTGAGCTGTTCGCCTTGAGGGGGAGGTGGCGGTGGGCAGGACTAGGGACTGTTGAGTGGCGGCGGGCTGCTTCACAGGGCTGCTTCACAGGGCTGCAGTGAGTTTAGCAGAGTTTCTCCGAGCAGTCACAGGGCAGGGGAGTTTTGTGGAGCAGTCACAGGGTGGGGGAGGAGCAGTCACGGGGTTGGGGGAGTTTCACAGAGCAGTGGCGGGGCTGGGGGAGCCTTGTGGAGCAGTCGAGGGGCTGCGAGCATCATGGGGCATCCCAGGGTGGGGAGCTTCACATAGTATCACAGGGCGGCAGAGGCCAGCGACAGAGGCCAGGCTGGGCTTGTGTGGATCCTAACCACACATGATTTTGTGCATGCTGGGCCTCTAATCCTATATAAGAAAGAGGTAATATGCAAATTAACCCTCATGCCCTCACAAGATGGCTGCCTGTGACCAGGCCAGCAGGGGAGTTAGTGAGGGGTGACCAAATGACTGAACAAACAGGCTGCATGGGGCGATCAGGCTGGAGGGAGGGCCATGAGGGACAACCAGGCCGGCAGGGAGGGCAGTTGGAGGTGACCAGGCCAGCAGGGGCAGAAGTAAGAGGCGATTAGGCCAGCAGGAGGGCCAGTTAGGGGTGACTAGGCTGGCGGGGGTGGGGGGGTGCATTTGGGGGCAACCAGGCCAGCAGGGGGGGCAGTTGGGGGCGAAGGAAGGGCAATGAGGGGTGACTAGGCTGGCATGGGGGCAGTTGGGGGAGACCAGGCCAGTGGAGGGGGGTCAGTTAGGGGCGACCAGGCCAGCATGCAGAGGCAGTGAGGGGTGATCGGGCCAGCAGGGGGGGCAGTTAGGGGCGACCAAGCAGGCAGGCAGGAGAGCAATTAGGAGCCAGTGGTCCAGGATTGTGAGAGGGGTCCCACATTAGAGAGGGTGCAGGCTGGGCTTAGGGGACCCCTGACCCCCGTGCAGGAATTTCATGCACCGGGCCTCTATTTGAATGATAAAGATTCAAGAAAGGGCTAAGAGCAAACACAAATTCAAACTTCTAGCTGAAGGCACCTATTTAAATAAATAGCCTCTAGAAGTGATTATGCATGGGTCTCTAGTTAAAAAAATAAAACTTACATAGGGCAAGAGCTAAAATTGAAATTACTCTTAAATTATGTTATCATAATAGAAACTTTTTAAATAGTTTGAGTGATAATTTCTGAAAGACGGTGACAGAAAATATAAAGCTTTCAAAGCTTTCAAAAAATTGTTAGAAAGCCATCTGACCCAGCACTTTGGACAGCAAAATGAGCATCTCCTGGAAAACTGCTAGGAATTCAGAACCCTG